CACAAACTTAATAGGCCAGGGATCTTGTTGTTAATGCGGGCGGACCACCCAAAACTGATCCCCGAATCCGGATTAGCTCAAAGGGTGAATCGGGTAGAACACCAAAAAAAATGCGGGCGGACCACGGACCTAGCCTTGATCTATTTGATTAGCTATTATTATTAGTTGCTAAATGTATTGGTCGTTGTGCAACAACCGAAGCATTATTGATTCTTTGATGGCGTGCAGTGCTTCTTGATCAAGGATTAACTGTTGAAGCTTAGTGCTTCTTGTTCATCTAATAATTTTCATCCTTAATTTCACAAATTTATCTTTTTTATGTCAATTTCATTTTAATGGTGATGTATTTTCAGAGAAATTGGTGAAGAAACAAGCTTCGAGAACCGACCTCCATCTAGCACAGATGTTGCCGTCGTGGAGAGAAAAAAATCATCTTAGGGCCTGTTCTCATTGATTGAACTTAGCTGAACTGAACTGAACTGAATTGAGCTGAACTGAACTGAAATGAATTGAGCTGAACTGAACTGAACTGAACTGAACTGAGCTGAACTGAACTGAAATGAATATTTTATAAGAGAAGGAAATTAGGAGCTGAGCTGAACTGAACTGAACTGAACTGAATTTCAACGTAAGAGAACAGGCCCTTAGTCAGTTTGGAGTGAAGTTAGGATGAAGATGGGTGAGGAGAGAGAAATAAAATTCATGGTAGTCAGTTTGGATTGAAGTTGGGAAGAAGGCGAGTGAAGAGAGATACACTGAGAAATGGAAGGTAAAGAATATAATAAAATTGTTGTCGTACTTTAAATAGTGACGTGGCATTGTGACTTGGTGCCATATAGACATATATGTTGAAGAGTATCAGGTGACACTTTTCCTTTAAAAGGAATACTTTTTAATAGATAGTATAGATATAGATTTATGGGTACTTCGCTGACACGTTCAATTTAGGCACACATATAAGGAGATGAGATGGAGTGAGACTGTGAGAGGGAATGATAAAGCAAGTGGGGTACACTTAAAAAACAAGGTATAAAACTTACTCAAAAAGAAAACTTGTCAACTTAAAAAAACTTCCTAAAAAAAATATGTGTCAACTAATAAAATACGGAGGTAAGTATTATCTTGAATTGAAGCCCTTTTGAAATTGGGGGCCCTCTACTTATGATACTTCGTACGTATTATATACTCATATATATATATATATATATATATATATATATATATATCCTAATTCATTAATTAAAATCAATTCATATCATAGAGCGTTCATTAATCAATATTCATTTATGGCTTTGATTTTGATGCAAGGCATTGCTATTCTTATTATCCTCATTTTTCCTTGTTAGTAAAACAAAAAAAAATTGGTTTAATTCAAATCTTAATCTTCCTCGAGGCGAAAATGGATGGCCAATACTAGGAGAAACCTTGAGCTTTGTTTCATGTTCGGCTAAATTTATACTTGATCGGATGATGAAACATTCTGCTGATATTTTCCAGACCTCAATAGCGAGGGAGAAAATAGTTGTTTTTTGTGGTGCTCCTGGTAACAAGTTCATATATTCAAATGAAGCCAAATTTAAAACTTGGCTACCAAGTTGCGTTGCGAAAGGCTTTTCGCTTATAGATACTGATAGTAGATCTCCAGCATGGGCGAAAGACTTTTCGCTTATAGATACTGATAGTAGATCTCCAGCATGGGAATTGTTCCACAAGCAAATACACAACTTCCTTAGGCTAGAATCAATGCAACATTATGTACGCATAATGGATATAAAGGCACAACAACATTTGGAGGCGCATTGGTTGCCTTATAACGAAGTGAAGGTCCAATTGATATCCAAAGACTTTGTTTTTTCGCTTGCTTGTCACATATTTATCGGCATTAATTCAGATGCAATTAGGGAACTAGCCGAGCCCTACTACACCTTAGCCGACCGACTTCTTTCCGTGCCAGTGAACTTGCCTGGTACATCCTACAATAAGGCCTTGAAAGCGTCAAAGGTTGTTCAATCCAAGCTTTTAGATTTGACCATCCCGATGTTTATGCAAAAGTATTACACGGTATGTTTATTACTTTGCTCTCTTAGAGCACTCTCACCAATGGGGAGAAAAATGCCCATGGGGAGTTTTTGGGTTTTAATCCAAAAATAAAATTCCCCATCAATGGGCTAAATAAAAAATGCCCATGGGCAAAACATTTTATGATCAAAGTTTGGGCAAAATTAAAATCAGACCAAGAATGAGTGGGCCCCACATGCATATCTGACAATAACATTTTTTTTGCTCACCACGCCTCAAAACGCAGCGTTTTGAGGAAAGGAAAAGCAAAAAAAAATACTATATGCATCCCTGACAGGCGCGTCAGCACGCCTAATCAAGCGCTGACACGTGTCCTGTCAGGGAGCTTGGACCAATCAGGAAATTCTTGATTATTGCAACGGTTATATTTTTGTAACCGTTATTTTGTGCTTTTAAAATAAAAAAAAATTACCAACGGCTAGAAAAAAAATTCCCTACAAATAGAGACCCATTTTGCCTATATTTTCATATTTCCAAAATTCACATAAATTTGTTGTATTTACATTTTCTCTCAATTTCTCCCTCATAATTAGTCATCCTTTTGATATTAGTATTAATATTATTATTATTATTAATATTATTATTATTTATAATTATTATTATTAAAATAATAATAATAATAATTATTATTATTATTATTGTTATTGTTATTATTATTATTATTATTATTATTATTGGAAGTATAATTATTATTGTTATTATTTTAGTAGTATTGTTATTAATATTATTATTGTTGTTATTATTATTTTTGTTATTAATATTATTATTATTATTTGTGTTATTATTATTATTATTGTTATTATTGTGTTAGTTTTTGAAATTAATAAAAAAAAAATAGATATGGATCCCAATAACCCCTTTTACTCACTACTTTCTCAAAATTGTAATGATTTAGATGAGAATTTCATGAATCAACCTCAATTTCAACTTTTCCTACAAAGAATGAGCAACAACCTCTCTGCAAAATCCTCCACAACAACAAATACCTCCATAAATTCCAACTGAAAACACTGATTACGAGCAATCACCTCCTGCCTACCAAGGAAGTAACTCTCAGTACGATGATAGCCAAGAAGAAAATGTGCCTGAGACACCTCAATACCCTCCGTCAACTCAAAGAATGTCGGTGGGTTCTAACCAACGACTCGCTAAAGCTAGTCGTATTTGGTCAGTCGCAGAAGATGAAGCTCTTATTGGGCTATATTTAAAATACAGTGGAAATGCGATAGTGGGTACGGGCATGAAAGCAGCTGAAATTTGGCGACAAATATCTGTGGCGTACGACATGGTTCAAGCTAGGCAGCCAGAAATACTACCACCCAGAAATGCGAAGAGTTTGGAGAACCGTTGGAGAAGGATGGCGGCAGATGTACTGTTATGGACAAGTTGTTATGATAAAGCGGGTCCGTTAACTGGGAGTGGATTCAACGAAGTTGATCGAATTCAAAAGGCCTCGAAGTTGTTCCATATATCATCCAAACCACCACACAATTTTGTTTTTCCCCACGCTTGGGAAATGATAAAGAATGACCCAAAGTGGAGGCCGAAACTCAGATGGGCATTGTCACTAAAGGAACGACAGGATTGTCAACTGCGTTCGGAAGGGGACACCGAGGATAGCAGTGGAAGTGGAAAGAGATCGAGAACTGACAGTGAAGCTGAAGGAGATGTTCCCGTTGGTGGGTTTTCATCAGGAGGTATACCTAGACCCGACGGGGTAAAAAAAGCAAAGGCTAAGCGTAAGGGAAAATCTATTGCTCATGATAGTGCAATTTTAAGTATTAGTGAACAGATACAGGCTTGTACTGAAGTTAAAAGCTTTGAGGCAAATTTACGGCAACAAAGGTTGGACCTTGAAAGGGAAAAGGAAAAGAGGAAAAACAAACAGGTCGAATTACAAGAGAAGAAGATGAAATTTGATATGTTGCAAGCCATTATGTCAAAAACGACGCCACTTACACCAGCTGAAGAAGCGTGGAAGGAGGAACTAATTCAAAAAGTGTATGGTGGAAAGTAGAGTAGTTTATTATGCATTATGATTTCAAGTTATGTTGCAATGAAATAAAAGGTATTTTTTTATTATGTTGCAATGAATTAATTTTTATTATTAATTTTATCCAAAAATTAATCAATTTATATTACATTTTCATATATTTTGTTCAATTATGAGTCAAGTACTAGCTAGTGTGTGTAGATTTTGTCTTATACAATTATGAGTCAAGTGGTTGGTTTAATCAACCATTGAACTGTCAAATCCCAAAAAGTAGTCAAGTCCAATTGTAGTTTTTGTTTTATATAAGCATTGAGTAGTCATTTCATACATAACTTGAACCGTATGACAAGCATTGGTATTGATTATTAAGAATTGAGTAGTCATGTATTTTGTTTTTACTATACATTGAGTAGTCTTTTCACACTCAGCTGAAGGACATGCACTGAAAAGTTTTCCTATTTAAAGGTGTGAAATCCATAAATTGATCCACAACACCAAAACATTCAAAAACCAAACACAGAAAATATTTTCCATAAGCTCAACCTCAAGCTCAAATTCTTCTGATTCAGATCAATATGCGGAATTTGATAATCTAGTTGACGAATTTGTCACAAATTACTTACCTAACATAATGCTTACTCAACCACCTCCATCCGAGATCGAAATTGCAAATGAAGATGAAACTGTCCCGCAGCGTAGGGGAGATAGAGAAAGGGAGAAAGGGCATTTGCAATTGTACAATGATTACTTCGCAATAAATTCTGTGTATTCTGAAAATTAGTTCCGTCGTCGATTTCGAATGCACAAACCTTTATTATGTCGGATTATGAATAAAGTGGTTGAGGGCAATCCATTCTTCCAGCAGCGTAGGAATGCAGCTGGTAGGCTTTGCTAATCACCTCTGCAGAAATGCACAACTGCAATAAGAATGTTAGCGTACGGTGTTGCTCCGGATGCCGTAGATGAATACATACGCATGGGTCAAACAACATCTAGAAAATCAATGCAACATTTTACTCAAGGGGTGATCAAGCATTTTGAGGTCGAGTACTTAAGAAGTCCAACAGATGAAGATTTAAGGAGAATCCTTCACCAAAATGAAATGCGTGGATTCCCGGGCATGATCGGTAGCATCGACTGCATGCACTGGGAGTGGAAGAACTATTCTATGGCTTGGAAAGCACAATACGCAGGTCGTAGCAAGAACGCAACCCTTATCCTGGAAGCTGTTGCGGATCAAGATTTATGGATTTGGCATGCATTTTTTGGAATACCCGGCTCTTGTAATGATCTTAACGTCCTATACCGCTCTCCGGTGTTTGACGATGTTTTGAAAGGTCGGGCACCACCAATTAGTTTTATGGTAAACGACCATGAGTACAACATGGGATACTACTTAACAGATGGTATATATCCGAACTGGGCAACATTTATACAAGGTATCACATATCCTCAACTCCAGAAGGACAAGTTATTTGCAGATAAACAAGCTGCAGCTCGAAAATACGTTGAACGTGCGTTTGGAGTTCTACAGGCTAGGTTTGCCATATTACGACAACCCTCACTTGCTTTCGACGAAGACATTTTGAGCGACATAATGAAAGTTTGTATCATTATGCACAACATGATTGTCGAGGATGAACGACACAATTACACTCGTGCCGAAGTTTTGAGAAGGTATTATGAAGAAGATCGCCCTCAGCTTCATAGAGCAAGGTCCGATCCGAGTACAAGTGCCACAGTGAATAACAACGAGCCTTTCGAATTTGATGTTGGCCGACCACTAAACGTTGATTTTGACACGTATATTCAAAGAAGAATTACCCTGCGTGATAGCCAAACCCATTTTTCTTTGAAAGATGATTTAGTTGAGCATATTTGGAAAAAATACGGTCGTACAAATGAATAAATAGTTTTGTAATCGTTAATTTATTTGGTTTGTATGATAGGTGTACGATCATTATGTTCCAATGTTGTAATCGTTAATGTTGTACTAATGAAAAATGAAATTTCGCATAAAATAATTATAAAAATAATTAATATTGTACTCATAAATAATTTAATCAATAAAAAAAATTTAGTTAAGAATAAATATTATTATTTTATTAAAAAATACATTTCGCTTAAATTAATAATAAAAATAAATAATATTGTACTCATAAATAATTTAATCAATATAAAATTTTGTTAACAATAAAATTAAGAAATACTAAATTACAAATTTAATGATGTGTAGGAGAGATAAATATTGGTGGGGTATAGGGTTAAAAATAGGAGAGAGAATGGTGGGGATTATAATTTTTGACCATTGGTGTAGAAAAAAAATGACCAAGAAAATGCCCATGGGGAGGAGGAGTGAGAAAGTGGTTAGAGAGAGATTGGGCAACCAAAATAATGCCCATAAGTGGCAATGCTCTTATCGATTTTGCTTTTCCCATTTTAAATATTGTAATTAATTTGCTAGCTAGCTTCATGCAAAGGTAATTATTACCACGTAATATGTAATATTATAAAGATAGCGCAATGCATTAAAATTATGTACTTCTTTCGTTCTTTTATTATTGCACCACTTGCCATTTTAAGAAGTTTCACAAATATTGCACTATTTCCTCTTTAGGAAAAAAATTATTTGTGTTCACACTACAAATACTCAACATACCCTTACTTTTTCACACTTACTTTTTAGTTTATCAATATGTCACATGGAAAATTTTGTATTTTTACCTTTCTCTCTCTCTCACTTTTTTCCACTACCAAAATATTTGTACCAAACCCTTATGGTGCAATAATAAAAAAAAACGGAGGAAGTATATCTAATATGTTGTTGGATTATTTCGACCTTTATATTACAATTATCATGAAACATGTTGTTAAATAGGTAATAATATAGTATATGATATCAACAATATATTTAAAGTTATGTTCAAAATTTATCATATTATGCACATCATTTTCAAAATTTATACTCCCTATGCAAATTGATTTTGAGTCAATTTTTTTAATTTCCACATTTACATTCTGTACATATATATGCACTTGACTCAAATTAATGCATTGCTATATGTTCAAGTTTGATTGTGACATTAGTCAATTACTTTGGGATGGAGTAAGTACTTAATTTTATATACACTGTATTATGGTTAAATTTGTGTACGAATGACAAGTTTATCCATACTATCAATCAAATTATTACAAAAAAAAAATGCAAATAATGAAATATATAATTACAAACTAGCAAGTCAGGCATCGCCCGGACCACACACTAGTTAAATATTAAAATGAAAACAAAGGTAAAGTTCGTTTCAAATAGATTATCTGTCATTTATTGTTGCGTAGAAATTGATGATAATTATACCGTATTTGAGAATGCCTATAATATTTCTTTGGTTTCCTATCTTACACTTCTTGGCTGGTAGTATTTCATGCATTGTGTTATGATTAATTTTCACAGAGCAATTAGACATTGCACAATCAAAAGAAAAAGGAGAGCTTTTGACCATTGAGGATACTCTAAAAATGAAATATACGTGGAATGTTGTATGTGAATCTATGAGACTAAAACCACCTGTGATTGGAGGTTTTCGTGAAGCCACCACTAACATCTCTTACGCCGGCTTCACAGTTCCGAAGGGATGGAAGGTACTATACATAAATTTGAAAAAGGCCTTTAAAATATCTACTAGGTAAAATATTTTTCCTCTAAATACTATGGGAAATTCTCTATTGAGAAATGAAATTTGTTTCTCATAGGGCATTTCCGTGAATAAATCAATAACTTTTTCATTATTGTGGCTCCACAATTGAATAAAGTTGTTGGTTTATTTACAAAAATGCCTCTCACTATGAGAAATCAGGGCATCCCCAAATACTATGAAGTTGATGATTGATGACAGTTAAAATATTTATTTTTGATGAATAAGGTACATTGGAATGTTTACTCAACACATATGGATCCAACATACTTTCCAAATCCTGATAAATTCGACCCTTCAAGATTTGAAGAGAAATTACCGCCTCGTGTATTCGTACCATTTGGAGGAGGATCACACATGTGTTGTGAGAAGGAGTTTGCTCGAACTGAGATCCTGGTTTATCTGCACAATGTGGTGACTCGATTTAGACTATCAAAAGCTAATTGCAATGAAAAGATTATTTATACACCAGATCCTGTCTCAGTTGAAGGACTCCGGATTCGTCTTCGCCCACATGACAAATAAATCAACTTGTATTACATTGAACGTTAAGTTGTTTAAACATATTCGTCAAAAAAAAAAGTTGTTAAAACATAACAACATGAACTTGTTCGTTATTGTTGCATCAACTATGTATTGCTTTGCTCCATTTATGTTTAATATGTTTATGTGTGCTTACGTTTGAAATTGTGTATCACACAAGCTTAAATATAGTAGATAAATATTATTTCAAAAAAAAAAAAAACAGTTAATAAATAAAAACAAAACCCAAAATTCCCAAATTCAGGTTGCATCAAGTTAAAAACGGGTGCAGTTGTTTTAAGCGAGAGATTATAAATATTACCTCCATTTTCTATTATTTGCAAGTTTGGAGATAGGAACGGACTCCAAGGCAAATATGCTAACTGATGTTTAACAAAGGGCATGTCATTAAAAACTCAATAATAAAAAAATAAAAAAAAACCAAAATCAAAGAACAACACCCAAAAACCAAAATAATCAAAATCTTACAAACAACCCAGAATTCAATTCATACACTAGTATTTGGGCCTGGGTCATTACCTTTTTTTCTTATTAATAAACTAAATTAGCCCGGTGCGATGCACGATTTTAAAATAAGAAATAAATTATAGACTCTTTAGCACATGTTAAGATAAAACAACTACGTTCTCTTTACGGAGTAATACTTTCTAATTAAATATGAAAAATACAATTTCTAAAAAAATCATTTTTTTCATATTATTTTTTAGAATCGATTGAACTATATTATTAACTATTTTTAACAACTACTTGTAATTAATAAAATAGCGTAACATGCGTAAAAAATTTAAAAATTTATTTTGACTTTAATTTTTAAAACAATGTTAAATAGGTAACTCAAAAAGTGAAGTGTTTCATTTCCACCATAATAAAATAAAGTTCTATTTATCTAACTAAATTCCTTCATCTTCTTTTATAGTTCTACCCTCACTCTTTGACAAATTATGGGTGAAGAGAGAATGAATAGCTTGATTATTATTGATCGATAGGTAGAGTATTTATACAAAACCTACGCTCATAAGATAGGAAACAATATTCCTAAAGATATACTAACATAACCATAAACCCTAAAAATATATTCTCAAAAATAATGTCTTAACATAAATATCCTGAATATATTATTCTCTAAATGATATCTAGGGAAAATATATCACACGTATATTTTCCGATATCACTAACACCCTCCCGTAATCGTAACGGCAGTAACACGAACGTTGCGATTGGAAATTTTTCACTTTGTTGAAGTCGAGATGCACACTCTTGTGATGCCTCCTTCAATTTTTGTTTCTTCTTTTTCAAGGATGAGAACGTTCATCTTTTCGAACTCATCAATCATCAATCAAACAGGAACGTCATTTTTTTCGAACCTGCAAATAACAATTTTTGGTTTTTCCGGAGCAAAACCGAGCTCCAATCAAATATTGGTTTTTCTAGAGTAAATCACACTCAAATGTTGTATTGGTCTTTCAGAGTAAACCACACTCTCATATCCAAATGAGCAAAATCATGCTCGAATCAACTCACAAACCTTGTCTCATGGCACAAGGAGAACCAAATATATCTTGTCTCACGACACAGGAGAGCCGTTTTTTTGTAAAAAAAAAAATTGCGTCAAGCATAACGCTATTTAATGTCTTCATCTCCAAAGATGTGTTATAGTGGAGGAAGTCTTCTCACATACTCCCACAAAAAAAAATAATTCTCCCAAAAAAAAACATACACATATGATTAATGTGTACCAACCCAAAAAAAATAAAAATTTAAAGAGTATTAATATTGCATAGTGGAAGCAAAATTTTGAATCCCGCCGGTGGGTCCCAAGATTTAACCTGCTCTTGATACCATGACAAATTATAGGAAATAGAGAATAGAATGGGTTTTATCCTGCTTGATTATTTATACAAAACGTTTATAAGATAGGAAACAATATTCCTTAAGATTTCCATAAACCCTAAAGATATATTCTCAGAGCACTCCCAGCAGTGAGGAGAAAAGCCCTCACGAGTAAAAATAAGGGAGTAAAAAAAAAATCCGAACACTACATCAGTGAGTGAAAAAACACTCACCGATGAGTGAAAATAAAAACCCTCAAGAGTTGAGGGCTTTTGGTGATGAACAGTAACATGTGGCTCCCACTGCTTTTGTTGTTTTTTTACAACGGTTATATTTTGTATTTGAAATATAACCGTTGTAATTATTTTTAAAAAAAAAAAAAAATTCACCAACGACCATAAATTTTTTTTTCTCTATAAATAGAACATGCATTTTGATATACTTTAAAAAAAACCCATAAATTAGAGAAATTAACATATTTTCCCAATTTCTTCTTGTTATTATTATTATTATAATTATTTCTTATAAAAAAAATTTCCAGTTAGTATTATTAATATTTTTAAACGTAATTATAAATTTTTATTAAATTATTTTTAAACGTAATTAAAAAATAAATTAAAAAATAGTGGAGGAGAAAGTGATGAGAGGTTTTTTTTTCTCCTCATTGCTATGGTGAAAAAAACATTTGATGAGAGAAATTGTATGGGAAGAGTGAGAAAGTGGGTAAAGAGAGATTGAGAGGTTTTTTTTTTCTCACTGCTGAGAATGATCTCAAAATAATATCTTAAAAAGGGTAGGAAAAGAAACTAAAAAATCTACCCAAAAACCCTCGAAATTGAAGTAT